TCGATAGAACCGATCGTTACTGTGGTCGTCGAACTTCCTATGGAGTAATACTCACTATGTACAATTGTGGTATTATTCTGAACTTCAATGAATTATACAGATCTGAATCACCTACACGAGTACTCCATCACTTATTTACAACAATTGATTGTCTATCACCATCTGTGTAAGTATTAATTGCGCAGATTAGATCCATACTTGTTCTGCACGAAACTTTTTCTCTGTAGTCCATTACCAAAATACTTGATATACGTCAATGCATGTGGTCTGTTACTCACGTTTCAAAATCGTTTTGAAAACGGTCATATACGTCACACAGCACGCACCGATGCCTTGTAAGTTTACGTCATTCATTCGCTACATGGATACAAATTCATTTTACTTTCAAGAAATAACATGACGTTTTTGGTTGATAAATTTCACATTGGTAATCATACGAGACCGATGTGTCAGGCACAAACCAACCCATACAAATATCCTGATGTCAATGGCATAAACACAGTTGTCTGTGAACAGACAAATTCGAAATTGAAAAAATACCAAAATGCACTATCATCTTTCTCTTTTCCACAGAGTAAAATCTTCTATCTTTTGTTGTTTAATTTCATGAACTGTAAGAAAAAAAATATTTCTGTCTACAGTTGTACAAAATCATGATTTACCAATTATCTTTGTTTCTCATATTTTTCATTTAATAAATCAGCTTATCAACCTTTACCACGCCTATAAAACCGCAGATGAATTTATCCAAAGCGATGGCGCTCGGAAAGCAAGACTGGTAGCCCAAGCAGCAACTGATCGTGCTCGGAACGTGAGCCCAACAAGCAAAGCCACGAGCAGCCCCGATACAACATCGAAGCCTCAATTAAAATGAGACATATTTAATCATTATTTTCTCACTGTTTCAAACAAAAGCACACCTCCACTACACCATAACGTCTTTTTCAACTCTCCAACTAACAGATTTTCACGACGCACCCCTTCCTGTAGATCCGCTCCTTCACTTCCTATACATCACTCAACGTCCATATTCTGGTGAGCCACTTATAGCACTAAACAATTTACTCCCGGTAAAACATCATCTAATCTCTATGGTAACCTTCAATCAAAATCCACACATTTCGAAGATAAATCTAGACCTGCATATCCTGAAGGATACGGCACATCCACTCAATCCCTCAGCTTTTCAAATGGATCGACAGGGTCGTATCATGGTGAATACGACACATCCACTCAATCCCTCAACTTTTCAAATGGATCGACACGGTCGTATCGTGGTGAATACGACACATCCACTCAATCCCTCAACTTTTCAAATGGATCGAGATGTGCATAGCGTGGGAGATGGCGGAGAGGATTGTGGTACGGTATTGGAGCGAATATGATGGATTTTGATGAATACCCGTCGTACCGATATTATGACATCACTCCATCCACACTTCGCATGAGTCCAGCAATTTCTCATTGGATCACACTCGCCGACTCAACCAAACGATAAACTCGTTCACCCATCAAAACATGTTTCTTAGCCACTATTCATCTCACTAAGTTACACCACCAAACACCCTAAAGTCTTTCAATTTTCAGTTCTTTTATCCCATACTTCGTCTATTTCCTCACACGTTTCAAAATAAAAAATCTACTCTTTTCTCCGCAGAAAATCTAAAAAAATAATTTCAAGTTCCCGTTGCGTTCTTTCGCGCTTCTTACGTATTGGGCACCCTTCTCGCCGATTTCATTGCCACCCAGGTAGAGTGTGGTGAGTGTCTGCAAGAAGAGAAGTGGTGAGATGTGAAAGAGGGAGGGAGGTATGCAGAGATCGTTGGACTCACGGTGTTGTGTCGAAGTGCATCACTCACGTATTGGGCATCCGCGTCCCCGATTTGATTCCACGAGAGGTTGAGTGTGGTGAGCGTCTGAATGAAGATAGAAGTGGTGAGATGTGAAAGAGGGAGGGAGGTATGCAGAGATCGTTGGACTCACGGTGTTGTGTCGAAGTGCATCACTCACGTATTGGGCACC